CTCCTCTCGCCCTTCTCCCCTCTCCCATCCTCCGCCTCGCGCTCCGTCTCCCCCGCCTCCGACTCCCGACTCCACAGCGTGCCCACCGCCCGACGCTCTTGCGGTCGCCGACGCTGAGTCGACGTCCGGCTGGCGCATTCGCGTCCCCGCCCTCCTCTCGCCCTTCTCCCCTCTCCCGTCCTCCGCCTCGCGCTCCGTCTCCCCCGCCTCCGACTCCCGACTCCACAGCGCGCCCACCGCCCGACGCTCTCGCGCCCGCCGCCCGACGCTCTCTAGTCCGCCCGCATCTCGCCCTCTAGTTTATAATTACCATAGACACCCTGTAGCCAGCTCAATATATCAGCTTATCACCGGTGTACGCAGTCGGCGTCGTGATATGTGTTCAAGCAACATGCGCGGTAAGCCCTACTGGCGCCGCCACCCCCTGATCGATCGACGAGGATCGAAATCCGTGTTTTGTCCGATGTTCTCGGGCTTCGCGACATTCGGTGCATCGCCACCCCCTCGTTCATTGAACATCAGAACAAGTAGCTCTACAAACATGTCTGGCCCTCACTCCTTCAACTTGAAAGAACTGGCCGTCCAGCCTAACTTCGCGGTCAACTTGGGTGCCATACTGCTCGAACACGTTAGTATCAAGCCCGCCGCGCCCGATCACTACTCACTCATCTTGACGGTAAGGCTCTAGTTGCCCCTCCTTGGGCTATTTGAGAGGTCAGCGCAAGAGCACATAGGGCAGGATCAAGCTTACCTCGCGCGACTTGAAGTCATGCTTAAGCTCCACACGACGCGGTTTGAAGGTACGTTTGGAGCCTTTGTCGTTGGAGTAAGCGTACCCCAGGGCTTTCATGGTCTGTACCGACTAGAAGTATGAATTGGGAGGAACAGAACGGTGTATAGGATCACGTACATGCACGAAGTCATTCCAGTGGATACTATGACGGTCTCCTCTACTGATTTTGAAGATAGAGGCCATAACCTGCCCATGGGGTTATAGCGTTCACATGTCTCGCTTTCATCTGCAGCACTCACCCGGTAGTATTTGTCCTTGAGGTAGAATGGCATGATGATATGTTGAAAGTGAGGAGATAGTGGAAGACAGGAGAGAGACAGACAGATGTGTTCAGGAAAAGCAGAGTTATAGGCATTTGGGCACGTTTGGAGACCTACATTCTCGCGCTTGGTAAATGCAATTCAGTGTGCGGGAGCGTGATACACAAGTTGTATGCTCCGCTAGAGTAGCAGCTAGCGTAGCAGGGAGATAACCCGAGGCAAATACAACTGAATGGTTCGAACTTCTTTGAAGTTCGGGGTCTTCGCGATGCGGACGAGGCCCACGTGACTCCGACGCTTTGTCCTCGTCGCGGCAGCGACAGGACAAAGCACGATGCCCTGTGCCATATAGATAGCCTCGCGAGCGAGAGCAGAGACGCCGTCGTCTCATGCTCCGCTCGCAGGTACGTGCCACTTGCGCTACAGCGCGTTCGAGTCGTCGTCTCATGCTCCGCTCGCAGCCGCCCGGGCGACTTCATCGCGCCGGCGCCGTTTTCTTTGTCTACGACGACCCGCACCTCGAGCCACTGCAGGTGTCGTTCCAATGACTGCCGATTCACCCTTTACACGCTTCATAGGCGGACAGCGCCAGCGGTCTCGCCACTTCGGCACCAGCCCCGCCTACCCACAAGCATGTTCTTCCAATCAAGCGACCTCTCCACGAGTACGAGCGCAATCGCACACTGCGCCCCCTCAGCTCTCCTGCACACGGTACGATCCCGCCAAGGCGCCCCGCCAACGGCGACAACGATCCAGACGTTTCCGTCCGCGCCACTCCGGTGGCCACACAGCATCTTCGGCCGAGCTCAGCCCCCCGTCGCAGCTCCTCTCCGTCGAGTACCAGGCCCCTCGTCTCTCTTGCCTACACGCCGTGCCCCCCATGGGCCCGTTGACCACTATACACGCCGAGCCCCCGCTCCTCTCCTCAGAGTCCGCTGCGCCCACCTTTGGCTGCCCCAAGTCCGCCACTTGCGGAGCCCCTCCACATGCACCTCTGCCTCACGCCTCCGAATTTCCGCCCCAATTCTACCCTCCTCGGCGCCCTAATACCGAACCTCGCGCGAACGCTGCGCGCGAGGCCGAAACAACCCGGGTCACAACCCATCTGCAACGAGCGGCATGGGAGTACCACCTACGCAACTACCCAGATCCTGCCTTCGTTGAGACACTTCTCCGGATCATCGACTATGGCGCAGACGTTGGATTCTTAGGCGACCGTGCAGTCCCTCAAGAATCTAGGAATCTCTCCTCTGCCACCGAGCACGCTGACGTCGTGGACACCGACCTCCAGCTTCAGCTCTCCAAGCAACGCGTACATGGACCCTTCCCCACACCGCCCTTCCCTAACTTCCGCTCCTCGCCTCTCGGAGTTGCTTCACGCAAGCGTTCCTCAAAGCTGCGCGTGATCCACCACCTCTCCTGGCCCGACCGTACCTCTGTCAACGATGGCGTACCTGACTCGGAAGTGTCCCTGCAGTACGAGACCTTCCTTTCGGCCGTCGATGCCCTTCGTGCCTCAGGAAGAGGGTCCAGCATGATCAAGCTGGATCTTGAACAAGCCTTCCGCCAGATACCCGTCCGACAAGCCGACTGGCCATTGCTCGGCTTCACCTGGTGCGGCGAATTCTATTACCACGTCGTCCTCACATTCGGCTTGCGCTCGGCCCCCTATATCTTCAACCTGTTCTCTGAGGCACTTCACTGGATCATGGACCACCATCTCCCTGCCTCTGTCCGCCATCTACTCGACGATTTCCTGCAGATCTTCGCCCCAACCGCTCCTGCCTCGCTAGTCCAACATGCCCTAGAATGGACACTTAGCCTGGGAACCGCCTTAGGCTTGCGCTTCCAGTTATCCAAGGTCGAGGGTCCTACCACTTCACTCGAGTTCCTCGGTATCACTCTCGATTCCCTCGCCATGGAGGCCCGGCTGCCTTCCGACAAGCTCTCCTACCTCGTTAAGCTCTTACAATCCTGGAGCACCCGCACAAGCTGTCGTGCGCGCGAACTAGAGGAGCTCACCGGGTACCTCCAATTTTGCGCGCAGGTCATCCCCTATTCCCGCGCTTTCATCCGCTCACTCTTCAATTTTTCCTCCTCCTTCACGACGCCTTATGCTCGTCGGCGCCTGCCCAAGTCCGCATGCAACGACATCCGGTGGTGGCTCAATCTCGCTATGGCATGGAACGGGGTCAGCCTCATCGACTCCAATCGCCCAAAAGTCTCACTCCACACGGATGCTAGCGGAACAAAAGGTGCAGGCGGCATTCTCTCCGACTCGTGGTTTGCAGTGCGCATACCGCGTCGCTACCGCGAACGAGACATCAAGTTCAAGGAATTCTATGCTATCATATACGCCATTCTCTGCTGGGGTGACCGCTTCCGCGGCCATCACGTACTCTTCCACACCGACAACACAGACGTGCACGCTGCCATTACCAATCTCACCATCCGGTCCGAGCCCATGATGGAACTTCTACGCCAGTTCCTCGGTCTTGCATGCCGCTTCGACTTTACATTCGAGTCCCGGTGGATACCAGGCATCACCAATTCCCTCGCCGACGCTGCGTCCAGATTCCAGTATCAGCGCCTCTTTGACCTTGCCCCGTATCTGCAGCGCAAGCCCAGTCCAAAGCTTCACCACGTCGACAGCAGCCTCCCCTCAGGCCCCCGCCCTGCTGTTTTCCTTCATTAATTCCCAATCCTTCTTTCTGTGGCCGCATCCGCACTCCGCCTTTCCCGCTCCTCCGGCTCTCCAAGGCTCCTCCACTTGGCCCGCGTCTGCTGCTCGGTTTCCGGGGCGGCCGGCTCCTGCTCCCTTTCGGGCAGGCTCGCCGCCGCTTCGTTCCGAGTGGTCAGCGCAGGTGCTTGGGACCTCAACACGACACGTTGACGCCCAACCTGCGCTCCGAGTGCGCACACCCCTCTGCTCATCGAGGGAGGCATAGGCGAAGATGGTTCGAACTTCTTTGAAGTTCGGGGTCTTCGCGATGCGGACGAGGCCCACGTGACTCCGACGCTTTGTCCTCGTCGCGGCAGCGACAGGACAAAGCACGATGCCCTGTGCCATATAGATAGCCTCGCGAGCGAGAGCAGAGACGCCGTCGTCTCATGCTCCGCTCGCAGGTACGTGCCACTTGCGCTACAGCGCGTTCGAGTCGTCGTCTCATGCTCCGCTCGCAGCCGCCCGGGCGACTTCATCGCGCCGGCGCCGTTTTCTTTGCCCCTCCCACCATCCCCTCATTCACTCATTGTTCACTCGCATTCCTGTTTCATTCAGTCTCTGTATCTACCTAGCTCCATAGTACCATGTAGTAGCTAGCACACAGTCCCCTGTAGCGGCCCGCGTCTGCTGCTCGGTTTCCGGGGCGGCCGGCTCCTGCTCCCTTTCGGGCAGGCTCGCCGCCGCTTCGTTCCGAGTGGTCAGCGCAGGTGCTTGGGACCTCAACACGACACGTTGACGCCCAACCTGCGCTCCGAGTGCGCACACCCCTCTGCTCATCGAGGGAGGCATAGGCGAAGATTAATATTCCATCGTTTGGGTCCGTTGTGGCCGCGCACCGCAGTACAGTGGCCTGCTCCGACGACCTTGTCCTACCTCGTCTCACCCCTACGCTTCACAAGATTGACGCTGCGCACAATTCGAACGCTTCGTAAACAACAACTTGGCCTATGTGATGTCGGGTAGAAGGAGACGGCAAGAATTTGGCGCAGCCGCACAGCTAGGTCAGTTATATCCAATGCACGCTTGCTTCGAGGGGCATACCGATGTATCCATCATCCTGCCCCGTACCCCCAACCTGCAACAGGAAGAGTCCCTCTGGCTCCCGTGCAACTCCGCGCGTAGAATGTACCTGGGAGATACACAGCTACACGCAGACGCATCTCCACGCATCGGTTCCCCGACCACGGTGATCTGGAGCGTCGCGTTGCTCCTCCGCCCCCACTCTCCTCGAGCCCGCCCGGTCTGAGCCCGAAACCCTCGGAAGGCTGCGTATGCCCCACCATCCAGCTCCCACACACGCGTGCCCCGCTATGTAGCCTTGACCTGGGCGGAACTCGTGAGCGACCCGCGCCTGCGCCCTTGCTCCCAACCCTCTATCTTTACGCGCTGCGTGAGCCCTTAGGCACCACACCCCCTCTGATCAATGTCCAGAACCAAGGCCCGACTCGCGTCCACGTGCTGGATTGCCACCTTCGAACACCGATTTCTGCGCGACGTCTCCTGGCCTACACTTCGCGGACTCACCCCGAGTCCCTCATTTTCCAGCTCAAGACCTCGCCCTTCCCGAACACCTCTGGCCCGCGCTACCTGATATCTTCCGCCGCGGTAATGGCTTCGGGGACCCACTTTACCGCGCCGCCTCCAAGCGCGAACACCGCGCTGCCGGCCTCCCCACGCGCCCGCGCCTTAGCACGCCATTAAGGCCCCCGATTCCATTCGCACTCGCCGAGCTAAGTTTCAAATCCCCCTCCACTCGTCTCCGCCAACCGCCGAGTCGCCGAGTCGTGAGAGCCTAGGAGATCACGGTACGTCAGCAGCAGCCTCAATACGCGAACAAACCGTGTTGCTCACCTATTTGGTCTTGCAGGCCGCCCCGTCGCAAACGGAGCTGTGGCGGCAGCGGCGGCAGTCCCGTGGGTCGACGCGCCCTCATAAATCGTAGCCATGACGCCCGAGGGTGTGCGTTGGAGTGCGGTCGCGGTTGGAGGACAGGCCGGCCCGCTGCAATACCAATTCGGGGCTTACTGATTGTCCACCACACTGCACGGCAATGACGCCGGTGTCGGCGCCGTACCCGCGTCCATCACGGTCTGTGCGTGCGCATTTCTCAGCGTGATCGCGGCGTCCAGGTACAAGGCAGCGGCGGCTCGCGCGGGAGACACGGCGGCGGACATATGGCCGCGAATCCTTCGCTGGGGGGCAGGCACCGCGTCGTGGGTTCACATTGCCCTCATACCCTCTAAGCACAGTCGGGGCAAGCCGTTCAGCGACCCACGGCGAATACGATTCCCTACGTACATAGACTAATATTAGTACCCTTCGTACAGATGCGCCCATGCGTCGAAGCCGTCGAGGATACCATGCGCGTCCAGAGCTGGGTTGTGCGCCCCACCATCTCGCATAGTCCTCGCCACGCCGAGCATGTCTATCTCGAGCCCCAGGCGCGGCATGGCCTCGAGGTTTGCGATCCGCAGCAGCATGGTGTCCGTATTGGCGCGCACCCGGATTGGGCCGTCCACACCACAAGCTGTCCATTCGGTCTTGTGATGGGACCAGACCTCGAAACGCGGGTTCGGCTGAGTGGCGACGATCGCCGCGACGTCGCTGTGATCGTCCAGTCTGATTGAGGTGTTCGGGCCAAGAGGGAGGAGGCGAGCGGTGGGGAGAACGTCGTCCTGCCGCATGGTGAGTATATTTACGAATGCTGGGATAAGGAACTAAGCATGGAACACATACGTCTGCCCAGAAGACGACCCAGACGCCATGGACAGTGACGCCGCGTGCGAGGACTTCTCGTCGGTACTGTCCTGCTGCTTCAACAATGTCGCTGATGCTGGCGACGTCCAGCGCGCCATCTTGCTGCAGGCAGTGCAATTCCAGGCCGAACTGCTCGCAGCGTGTGACCGTGTCGACACGGACGAGGAGAACCGGGGCATCGCGCGCGAGGGCGAGATCCATCAGGGCGTCGATGACGGGGAGCCAGTTCTGCAGCCCGGTTTCCCAATATTCGAACGGGTAGGGGTCCCGGGGGTCGTGGTCCGGGAGAACATGTCCTAAGAGACCCAAGCAGAGAGGCTTATCGGCGTCGACCCTGACCTCGGTTCGCGTGGGCACAACCTTGTCCTAGATAGGCCCATTGTCAGTTCTTGTATGACATCGCTGCCAATAACGCATACCTTCGCCCACACGACCACGTCGAGGATGCGCTATGGGTGATCATCAACACATGAGCTTATCCCTACCCTCGAACTACATACCATGTTCCTTCTGGCGGCGGGGGCAACATTGTTCGCTATGACCGGGGCGTTCGTAGTCGGCGAGGTGCCCCTCGTATTGTCGATATTCTAATCATGTTAGACGAAGTTAGTACACCACGCCGCCATAAGTTCGAGTGACGTACCCCGAAGGCCTCGACGTTGTCCGCCTGCTGAACATGGAGAGCTGGTGCCTTCGACGGGCAGAAGGTCAGCGTCTCCTCATCGATCTGACAAATATATCATACCTTGTCCATGTTCGCGCGCATGGCGTCCGATGCCTGCTTACGACGCTCTGCGATGGCGCGGCGTTTTAAGGCCACCTTGGCGGCGTCTGCAACCTTGCGTTGTGCGCAGTCCGCTGCCTCCTCGGCTTGAATGGCCTGACGTATGGCCTTGGTTAAGGCTTTCTCGCGCTTCTTGGTCTCCCGAATTGACTTCTTCACCCTTTTCCGAGCCTCGTCCTCCTCGCGTTGACGTCGACGCGCGTCAGCCGACGCCCGACGTTCGAGCTTCAGCCGGGCGTCTTCTTCGCGGTCGAACTGGCGACGTTCTTCGATGAGGCGCAGGACGGGCTCCGTGGGTCCTGACTGCCACGGCCAGTGGATGCCGTGGCACAAATCGCACTTCGATGACATGGTTATCAGTAAATATGGTTATCGGCTACCAACGTCACTACTCACCACGTAACCCCAAGCTCCGGCCCATCCTTCTGCGTAGCACAGCTGCGCGGTGAAGGTAGTGCGAGCCTGGCAGTTGCGCTTCGGACAGAAGTGCGGCGCTTCGGGCATACGGTGAAGGGAATCGAGCTCGCAGAGCTGCCTGAGTTCCGGGCTGTAGATACCCGTACGCCCGCCGTTCGCGACGTGATGGCTACGTCCACGGATGCGCACGAGGCGGTACTGGCGAATGAGGTTGAGTTCGGGCATGGCAGGGATAGGAGGACAGGAGGAGGAGAAGACGAAAAGGCGAACGAGCACGCTGGCGTGAGCGGGTATGGGGAGAAGAGCAGATCAGCTCACGGAGGGAAATTCCTTGTCGGACCTGGTCCCGGCGTACCCTTTTATCGTCTCCTGTAGCCGTGCGAAGACCTTTCGACCTTGCCCCCAATTTCCGATTTATTTCGACCACTATATCCCGCGCCTCCGGCTCCCTTGTGTCACGTCCCCCGCCCTTCCGTCACCCTCTCATTTCGGCCGCTTTCACCAATGTCGGGTTTATTGTAGCGTTATATCTAGGTTATATCTCACACGAATCTGGGCCATATATTCGATGCACGCCACTTTCACTCGTTCCGATCGCTGAATCGGGGAGACAGATCGTAGGTACAGAGCAACCGTTACTTAGGCCCTGTCGACGTCGATCGCGTCCTCAATCGTTTCGCCGAGCGTCATATTGATGACCTCCTTGCTGCCTTGTTGCTCGACGAATACGCGGAGGCCCGCCTGCATGCTCAGCACCTGCTCACGTCTCTTGGCGATGCGTCGTTTCATGCTGGCGGTGCGCTTCCGCTTGCGCACGACAGTAGCCCCTCCGGCCGGTATGCGCCAATCTCCGTCGGCGATCACGACGGTCGCGTCCGACTCGTCGCCGGAGGACAGGCTGATGGTCGCCTCGCGGTCTAACACGTCCTGAGGTTGTGTTAGTATCACAAGAGGTCGCCTGTGAATGGGGCGTACCTGCCAATCCCCAACCTCAGGGGCACCCCACTCGAGCGGCCCGAGGGCAACCTGCAGAGGCATCAGCGACGTGTCTGTCTATCGACGTGTTTATAGCACACCTGTGCAGGCGGAAGGCCCCATCCAACGGCCGCGTTGTCGGCATTGACGTCCCCAGAGCCGTCGTCCTGTTGAATGTCAGAGCCCGCATGTACCGCGTTAGCACTCGGTCACTCACTTCCAGCTCCTCGAGGTACGCGCGAGACGAGTCCTGCGCCTCCAGTTCCGCGCCCAACCCCACAACGAGGGCCGTTGAGGACGTCTTGACGAGGATGGTCTGTCCGTGGCGACGCACCGGGAGCGTTGTCCACAGGGAGCGCGAGAGCCACCGTCCGAACGGATGGTTCCAGACTTCCATCTCGGCATCCGCACTGAGAGCACCAATGATGGACTCGACGTCAGCGTCGGCGCCTTCGCAGATGGCGGCGCGGAAGGGGCCGCATTGACCCAGGCAAACGGTGTCGTTGCTGCCGGCCGTGACGACGAAAACGAGAGGACCCTCCGATCCCTGAGCGCACAAGCGGTCAGCTTGTGGTCTATCAAAGGTGAACGCGAGGCAAGAACAAACCTTGGGCCACAGAACGACACGGATAGCCTTGCCCTCGTTCACATCCCCACGGCAGTCTTGCTCGACGACGACGTCGGGTATGGTTTTAAGTCCGGCCACATCGTACACCCACCCCAACTCAGACCCAATGGACGGCACGAGCTCTGCGCCCGGGAAACGCACCACATGCACCCAGAAATTGGGTCTCGCGACACCCGCCATTTCCACCGTGCTGGCGACCCACCCACCCGCACGATAACTCCACACCTCTATCTGCGCGTTCCGCAGGTCCCCGACCGCGTCCACGACCGCCTGGATTCCGCTCAGGACGTCCAGGAAAGACTGACCATGCTGGAGGGTCGTTCGAATGACGTCCTCGTTAGTCTAAGTATGCCGTCCTGTCAGAACTAACGTAGAGATGGGCAGGGAAGACACGTACCGCGAGGAAGACACTCAATATGTTCGAGTTCATGGTGGCCAGACGTCAGAGTGTATGTAGCGAACGAGGAGAGCAATTCAACGAGATTTATGGCGCACCGCACTCTGTCCGAGCAGGACCTGATGGGGTCCGTAATTCCCGATGGGGGAGTTGCCTCTAAACGTTTATTCGGGCACGAAGACCCCGTATGACCCGATGCGATCTGACTTGCTACGTTCCCTGGTTCTTCCGAAGACTGCTGATACCAGGCACCTGAGACATAGCACCCTCATCACATCCAGGTCATAACAGCGCGATACATCAGCCCGATCTACACTAAGTTGTCCCATCACGCCCGGCCCCTCCGCTTAGACAAGCCTTTGGCGGCGGCGCCGACGCTGCCTGCGCCGCGAGCCCTCGAGATGCTGCCCGCAGCCGAGATGCGCTCGGTCAACGACATCAAGCTGGAGTTATCTGAGTATCAATATGCGAAGTAGATGAGAGAACTGCTCACGGATCTTGACCCTGAGCGCGTGCAGTCTGCGCGCGGATGCGGGACGGATGGGACACGACAGCCGCGCTCGCTCGCGTCGGGCATCGCGACTCCCGACGTCTTGGGAACTTTACTGACCTTGTTGCGCGCCCCTTTCGCCTTGCCCTTCGTCTTCGCGCCTTTCTTTCCAATGCGCTGGCCCTTCCGCCTCGCGTTGGCGGGTTCGGGGTGTTCTGCCGCCGCCGCAATGTCGACGTCCACACTTACCTCGGCATGGACATCCATGTCCGCGCCGGCCATGTCAGCCGGGCCGGAGTCGTCGTTGGAATCACCTATCACATATGTTAGCGGGCACGCACCTACATGCACTATAGACTTGCCTTCAATGACCCGTCCTGCAGTGGGTGCCGTAGGCGGCGCTCGCAGAGTCGGATCGATGCAAGCAGTGAGAATTGGGGCCGGAGAGACAGCTACATCCTCGACAACAGGGGCGGTTTGCACGACTCGCTGCAGCTTGTCCCTCGCATCGTCTGCGCGACGTTCTGCTGGGGGCCAGTGAGTTGTGCACGACGTGTACCTGCCGACTTACCCTCCATGACACGCTGGGTGTGCCGTCCGAAGTCAACGGCCTCGACATCCTGGTCAGCTGTGTGACAGTCAGCGATGCCGAAGCCTCACGGTCGATGCACCAACCGGAACGGGACTGCTCCACCCAGAGGGAGAGCACGAGGTAGAATTCTTGTTCAGTCCAACCAGCGGTCTGGCACAGGGCCTGCAGGAAGGTGAGGCCTTGTCTGTTGACACCCCGCGACGTCCTGCGCACATGTCAGCCAGTCACTTCCACGCTTCGGTGAGATACAGAGATCATACATGTACACAGAAGGCTCGCCCGTCTCGTCTGGCCCACCGACGCAAATCAGACCACCCCAACGGACGTTGTGGATCATGTCCATACTGTCATCGACCGCGTTGGAGATTTCCAAGGAGGTGCTGCGGCGCGAGTGTTAGCGTGAACACCGTAATGAATATGTCGCTGGACTTACAACCCTCCATTAATGGGCACGGACTCCTCCCGCTCTGCGGCAAGCTCCTCGTTCTTCTCCTGGGCGACGGCGTTGTAGATATCTTGTTCCTCGGGAGGAAGAATCTTCCACGCGTGGGCACAGGCAGCGCGCAGTTGACCTATCGCTGCCCTGGGACGGCCTCCTAAGTCGAGCACTTCGATCTGCGGAGCGTCAGGCGACACCTGGAAGACGTCCAGTCCGGTCTTCGTCCGAGACTTCCGGGGTCGCGGAAGGGTCAGGGAACGGCGCCGCCCATCGTGCCCTCTAAGACGTTCACCCGTGTACCGGTTCTCGCGCAGCCAGTTGTAGATGTTCTGAGAGTCCGCGTCAACCACTCGTAGTAAAATGCAAGGCCACGGCACACCTTAGGCAGCATCTGCATGCGCGCGCTGAATGCCAGAATATCTTCAGGAACATGGCGAACGAGATCGTTGCGACGTTCGCGACTCGCGTTGTTGTAACGCTTCAGCCACGCTGCTTGCGTTTCCCCCGTACTCGGAGCCGTGAAGTGAGCACGAAACTTCTCAGTTAGAAGACCGGCGGCTCGCTTGTTGGGGGCTGTAGTCCTAGGCTCCTGAAGGATGCTTTGAACGTCCGCATCAGAGAGGTGCTGTTGAAGCCAGTGGCTTTTGTCATCAGTGAAGCGGAACCTCTGACGCATCGAGGCAAAGGGAGAAGGAGAGACTCGCCGGGGGGTCCACTAGTCGCAACTTCGGTCTCGTAGGTACTTGCCATTTCGCTCGTACGACGCCGATACAGATCTGCAAGCCGATGTGAAGGTGTACCCCCGCACCACTACCGGAAGTGCGTACCTAGACATCTGATGTCCCTCTGGGTCCATGCGTACAGTATGAAACCGGGTCGTCACCGCCACCGCCACCGGGTAGGAAATATCGTATAAGACTGGATTCCTGCCGCTCTCAGTTAGCCGGTTCGGTGCATATGCTGCTCGTAAAGTACGGAATAGGCGGAATAGGTAAACGGTGCAAGTT